TGCCCAACGGAGCGTGGTGGTCAGTGATGTGGGTGCAATGGATGGGCGAAGACAGGAGAATGTAGCGATGGTCTTGAGATCCACAGAAAATCTGCGCACGCCACGCATGCACTTCGAGGTTCGCAATCGCTGCGCCTGCCACGAAGTCTGCGCTTACAGACAGAGGTTCACCCAGTGCCGTGCCTGCCACGCAATCTGCACTTCGAGGTTCACCCAGCGCCGCGCCTGCCACGCAATCTGCACTTCGAGGCTCACGAAGTGGTGCGCCTGCCATGAAATCTGCAGCTCCAGTGCACAAAGTGCTGCAGTGCTGCGCTTGCCGCGAGCCCTGCAACTGAAGGTGCTCACTCAAAGTGCTGCGCCTGCCACGAAATCTGCAGTTCCAGTGCACAAAGTGCCGCTCCTGCCACGAAACCTGCTACTGGAGGTGCTCAAAGTGCTGTGCCTGCCATGAAATCTGCACTTCCAGTGCACAAAGCGCGGCTCTTGCCACGAAATCTGCTATTGGAGGTGCTCAAAGTGCTGTTCCTGCCACGAAATCTGCACATCCAGATTCACATCGCGCAGGGCTGCCAAGGCGGTTCGCAGTGGCAGGCGCAGCTCTTTGTGAAAGGATAGTTTGTTTTTGATACACATTCATTTTCCTTTTGATAGGATATAGACAATTTTCTTTTTGATAGCCCGGCCCAACACGAACACACAACGACAAACACACGACCCCAAACACACCTACAAACATAAACACAATCACAAGCACAGCCACAAACACACAACCACAACCACAACCACAACCACAACCACAACACACAATCAAAAAGACGCATTTACAGCACACAGCCACAGCACACAACCACAACACACAACAACAATCACAGCACAAAACCCGAGGACCCAAAAACAAAGTCGAGAACCACAAAACTCAGGACCATGGCAACATGTTCCTCCATGGCATGAAGACAAATGATTGAAATGTCATGGTGGGATCACTCGAAGTATCAATCACGTGCTGGTATGCCAGCCCACAGGTCAATCGCCTCAGTTTCTTGATGTCACGCTTCTGAGATGGAACCAGCAAATCGTCAATCTGAATCACACTGGAAGCTGCTTGTTAAGGGACGGAAAGATGTGTTTCCTTTTGAGGTGTTCTGCAGTGTCCATGTTGTTTTCCCAAAGAAAATGGACATCGTCATGCTTGAAATCATCCGATGGGAGCTCCCCCAAGTGGAAAAAAACAAAAACAGTCGAATGGATCCCCTCCCCTCCGCAGCAGTCACTTCGGGTGTGTGTGTGTGTGTTGTGGATGATGTACTTTCCACCTCCATTCCAAACCAAGGGAGTCAAAGTCAAAGCAATAAACATCATGGTCAGTATCATGGTTTTGAAGAAACCCGGGTCATGGAGTTTCCTTTATTTCGGCAAAAAATGCAGTCGAACTATGTCGAACTAGACTTCTATAGGGATTCTACGGCAAGTACATGACTGGATGAAACCCATGTCTCTTCACACTGAACATCTCGGACCTTTCGCTACACTCCGTCCCAGGCCCTGTGGTCTCGCCCCAGCTGCGAGCGCCCACCGCATCCGTGCGCTTGGCCCAACGGCGGAGGCGGAGACCGGGCGCTCTAGAAGAGCATGAGCAGCGCAGCCGCAGCATGTTACAACAGTGGCGTTTTTGGACTCATGAAAAAAGGGAAAATGGATCATGAGGAGTGGTCCTGCTACTTGTACCTCGCAGGGTATGATGTTTTTGTCTCATTTTGTCTCCACTGACTAGGCAGCCTGGATGGACCAGTCATGCCCACTCAGGAGCATGGAACACTAACATGCTGTTGACACTTGCTTTCGGAATCCTGTTTTAAGATTTGTGACAGGTTTGACTTATACCCTGCCCTGCAGCGCAGGTCCGTTTGACCTCATTTTACTTGAATTGGTCACACAAAAAACAGCACTGAATGAGGTAAAGGCTGTAAAGGAGTAGCTTTTACTGAGTCAGACTGGACCTGTATATGGCTGGGGGCTACAAGAATCGTTTGTGGACGATTCCGTCCGAGCTCATCGCCAGGCCAGGCCCTGTCGAAGTTACTGTACAACGACAGGGTCCCTACTGGAGGAGATCGATGCTTGCCGATGTGAGTGCTAGCAGCCGCGGTCGGCGGTTGATGCACACGTCTCTTTTGGTTGGGAGCACCGTTTTTTGGCATGAGCACCTGAGTCGATTGACGTTTCAAAGAAACAACAGCAACGACGACAACCACCACCACCACCACCACAACAACAACAACGCATATGTCACAAGTTTCTTGGAACATTCATTCATGTTTTTTTCAAACGGTTGTTGGGAGCAAACAGGGCGTGGACATTTGATCACATGTGTTTAGCTGTTCGAGACCCATGACACATCGCCGGAATTTCATGTTCGGTCACCTTCAAACGTTGTTGAATGTTGATTATGATGCCCGTTGAAGTGATGTAAAGACCCAGTGGATCCAGGCAAATGACTATAGTATAGCATCGGCAAAAAGCTAGCCAATGGTTCCACGGACCTAAAACCATCTACCGAAACCGCCGGTTCCTCGTTTTGCCGGTTCCGAGGAACCCTGATCTTCATAAACGCACGCACGAGACTGGGGGACCCAAACCCGGAGACTGGTTGACACTGGAGGTCTGATTTGGACACATTGGGTACATAGACCTCTAGCACTCCAATGTAAAATATGGAAAAATCGGTTATACCCTAGGGCTCCAAGTACCTCCTCAGAAGGTATTTAATGTATTTGGACCCTCACCTCATCACAAGGTACAGGCAAAAGACAATGTCGTCACTTTTTTTGAGTGATTGCTACCCTGCCTTGGGGGGAAGGCTCTGCGGAAAGTCGTCTCTTTTTCCCAAACACAAGCGAACTCTGTTGGTTGGAAAGGGACCTACTTTTAGGTTGTATGCTGGGGCTCTCATCGAAAGGTGTTTTAACGCTGTATTGGCAACTCATAAGGGGTTAATAATGCCTGCTGCTGCTGCTGCTTTGCTATGCCGCAGCTGCTGCTTTGCTGTTGCTGCCACTGCTGCCCCTGCTGCCGCCGCCGCCGCCGCTGCTGCTGCTGCTGCTGCTGCTGCTACCTTTTTGCTTTGCTGCTGCTGCGTTGCTGGTTTGCTGCTGCTGCTGGCTGCTTTACAGACCTTGATTGGGTATCAGCATTCCATTGGGGTTGGCTCCCGGGGGTGACTGAGGGATGACTTTTTGGAAACAACGTTGCCATGGTGATTTGGCATTGAAACAGTGACCATGGATGACTGAGGGATAACCGGGATAACTTTGTCAGGATCCTGTACATAGACCTCTAGCACTCCAATGGGCGTAGAGGTGCGGGATCGTGGATGGTCCGTAAGTGGATGTGGGGGAAACAATGGGAAACCAACCCCCGTATTTTTTTTTCTTTCTTTGGTGCCTCGACCCGACTTCTCAGGATAGAGAGGCTCCGTAGGTTGGAGGGATTTTTGTTTTTTGGGAGGCAACCGACTTTTGGCCTCCATACACACTTCCCAAAATACACTCCATGGGACTGGATTTTGTCACACTGCCGCCCCATGCACCCCTTTTCAATCAACCACCCCTGACCTGATCATGTATGCCAGTCACATGGGTCGTGTCTGGGTTTGAACCTTCCAAAGTTTCAGGAATTCTTTGATGTTCTGTTCTGCAATTTCACCCTTATAGCGTAAAGTCATGGCACGGGGATGGCAATGGCACGCTTTGGAACATCCCCGCAGCCCTACTTGACAGGCCCAAGAGTTGACAGGCTAAATGTACATGTTAATGTCTCTATGGATCCACATACCTACCCCTGTGATTGGATACTATTTATTATGTAGGCACCAGGGTCGGGCCCAGTCATACCGAACCTGAGAAGGTATGGGGATCCATAGGGATCATGTTGATTGCATTTTTGTCATGGCTCTATAGATGTCCAAGGCTCTGAGACATATATGTCAAGGTCATCCGCAACCTCATGTGCCAAATCTCCGAGACTATGGCTTCACCTCAAGATTCACGGCCCAAGAACAATTCTTCAAGAACCTCTACCGGGACCCAACTTCAAACAGGTGGTGTTTTGGAACCCTAACAGGTGGTTTGCAGGCACCGGACTTGTCACACGCCGCAGCCACCAAGTCCCCAACCGACCTTCCTTCCCACCATTGATTGAATGGGCTGAATCCCGAACCGCCATGGTCGATTTTAGGATTTTACACTACAAAGATCTACAAAGCCAGGTCAACCATTTGTTGAAGGGTCTTGGAAGGCTAGGGGAGACTTCCTGTCTTCACTTCTGCCGATGGCGTCCCGACCTCCTTGGAACTTGGTCGGGAGCCTTAGCGGAAAGTTGGTCTGGCGTGTTTGATTGATTGGAACCTCCAAATTAATCCACATGTTATTAGCATAAACTAACATAGGTAACGAGAAGTACTAGTTTGTTCACAGCGGGTGTGTTTCTATACTTCTTATATTAAAATAGATCGCTTGTGGAAGTGTTTGTTTTCTTCGCATGCGGCAAAGTTCAAGGTGGTGTCGTAATCGTCAGGGTGAGTGTGCCGCAGCCACTTTGGGGTGAGCGTGTCCCTTGCGTTTTGGACGAGTCATGGTAGAAAAACAGCGCTTCTTGGTATATACCAGGCTGGACAACGGTATCCCTACTTAACTTTTAGGTCTCCAGGTTTCCAGGGCGCCCAGACAGGAAGTGCTAGCTAGGTAGAGAGCGACCAGGAGTTAGGACCCGCCAACAAAAGGAGTCTGGAGCCGAAAATACAAGGGCGAGACCGGGTGGTGTTCTGTTTTCACGGATGTTTGTTGAAGATGGTGTTCAGAAATGTTCAGAACGGTCCCAGCTGGCACAGAGGGGAAACACCTGAAGTTTCTTCTTTTTGGACCACGGTTTGGAGCCGCAGTCCACCCATCCAGCATGTGGGGCAAAGAAGAGAAAAGCCCTTGGAGTCGGTCGCGGTCCGCAGCGCTTCTGCCTCAACCCGCGGTCCGTGTTTGTGCGGGTCCGTCGTGTTCCGTGGAAACTCCGTGCGGGAACCGCCATGCGCACCACTGTCCGGAGACCGAGTGGGGAGGAGCATCGGTTCCGAAATGGAGAGGTTCCGAACGTAGTTGTGAGTGGAAGAGGTGGCCGTAGATTCCATTTCCAGAGTTTATTCCTTATAGGGCTCCAAAGTGGGCTCCAACTATCTGCTAAGAAGTTGGTTGGGGGGGTTGTCAGGGTTGTCGCATACCACCGAACCTGAGGATATGGGCCAGGAGCACTAAGGATTGTAGTGGTGGGCTGAGTTTTTCCAGCAGCAATCGTCACCGCTCGGCGCTCTCCGTTCTCTCCAGAGAGTCCCAGGAGGTACCTCCTGAGAGCTACGCCAGGGTGTCGTCGTGGTGGGCATTCGAGAATCATGGTGCTTTCTCCAGGATTTCACCCCCCCCCATCGAACGCTTCACCTAAGTTCAACGTGGTACTGCAAGTCACACCATGCTTGGAGTGCTCCCAATTGAAATTGGGACCTCTGCCCCCCTGGGGCCCAGAAGCATCCTCCAAAAGAAATCTATCTTTCAGACGCACACCACTCCCACCTGAAGTTGGTTTCCGGTGAACCCAAAAAAGTCTCCAAATGTCTCCAAGCAAGCACCGGACTTGGAATCTTTGCCGCCCCATGCACCCCAATGTTCAACCAATGTAAGCAACTACTAGTATGAGCTTCCAGTTGTTTCTGAGACCTTTGCAATTTGCAAGTGAGGCTTTCAAGTTACCACCACGCCCGTGCCCACGCCCGCTTTTTTGCGCTGCTTCCCCACAGCTATGGTTCACATGTTCACACCACTTCATGTTGTGGTGTCACAGCAAACGTGTCGCCCATTCAGCATCTTGAAGGTTGTTGGCCATGATCCACCTCAGATATCCCACAAAATGCTCTATGTCTTAAGTCAGACTCTGGAGAAAGTAATAGGTAGTCAGTTCAGAGCCAGCGTTACAACAAAAAACAACCATTGTGTGTGTCAAGAAGCTCCTTCCTTGTTGTGTAAGCACGATCGGTAAGTGATTTGCCCTGGAGCCCCTCATTTTTTGCCTTCTTCCAAGCCGAGCTGTAGACCTTGACATGTTGAAAAACACCGGGGAGGTACAGGTCCAATATCCAGGAAGGTCTAGACGTGACTGTCGAATGGCGGGAACACCACCAATCAAATTGGCAAGAACTCAAAACTTGAATCTTATGTGCAACTTAGACACACTGTGAGCCTTTTTCTTGTCCAACTCGTTCTGTTCCTTTGATCTCTTTACCTTTTGTTGACCCTGCTTCACCTTCTTGGTCTGTTTGGCTGGCTTGGGACCCTTCGTGGTAGAACTCGTTTTAGAATCCTTTCCCTTGGCAGGGTGGGACTTGGGCTTTGGGCGTTCCTGGCTCTCTCCATCGGGTGCAGCGAATGCTTTTGCTTTGGGGCATGGCTTCAAACCTAACACCTGCACATGACCAGGAACAGGCGTTTCTTTCAAGGTGGCATCATCACCAGTAAGGTTGGGATGCTCCTTCATAGCTTCTCCATCACCGGGCAACATTGGGCTGGCACCGGTCAACATGGGTTCATCACCATTGAAACTGGACGCAATCTTCTCGGCTCGTTCACCACTGGTCAAGGTGGTTTCATCCTCATCCCCAGTCAAGGACTCGTTGGGAGGATATTCCGAATCGTGGATTGGGGTTGTCACTACCACCTCCACATCAGAACCACTCTCAGGGGAACAAGGAAGGCAGCCAGGTAGCTCCTCAATCGGAACCTTCTCCCAAGAAGCTGGCAGCTCATGTAGGCAAGCATTTATCCCTGCAAGGATGGCTTGACAAAGCTCTCTCTCCACTTCGACCCCTTCATTTGGCGTGTCCTCGGGCATTGCCACAGTAGCCTTGGTATTTAAATTTCAAGGGTGGTAGATCTGATAGGTCTCAGATCAAATCAAGAATCTAGTAGGTGATGTGAGTGATATGTGCTCAAAAGACTATCACAGCGGTCAACATTCCAAGGTAATGACACACTTCATAGCAGAATCACCTGTAGAAGGATTGTCAAGCTCTGTTGCCTTGGTTGACAGCAACAAGTGTTTGAACCCGTAGCCTCTCACCTGTCAAGAAAAGGGAAGGTTTATCAAAGATGAAGCAATCGGGTGAATGTTTGAAGTTCAATAGGTAAGAACAGCAGAGTTTCAGCCATAGAGGTTTGCGCCGTACAGTCCCAGTATGGATCCTGAATTCTCGTTTGCAGACAAGTTGAGAGGAATGCTGCACACAATGTTAAATGATATTAGTCACCAAGGGGCTGCAATTCGCTCTGAAGTTGGGGTCTCCAGCCCAAGTTGGTTATCGGGGAAGAGTTCAGCTGGCAATCGTGGGGAGGATATCCCCACAAACCTGGGAGCCCACACAAAGGCTAGATTCAAACCAGAACATACTAAAACTAAATGTTGATAAGGACAAGTTGTTCTTGGCACCTACCTCAGGCTGGAACTCACAGGATTCATCCCAAATATGCTTCTTCTCAATAGCGTACTCAAAGGGCTTAGGGCCTTGAGCGTCATCCTCACTGGTGCGAAGGCAATCACAACATCCCAAGAAGGTGGAGGGGCAGTGGTGGGAAACAGAGCACTGGAACCAGTTGCAAATAAACATGATCAAGCAAAGTAAGAAACCCGGTCCTCCTGTTCACCATGCTTGCGATGTTTTGTAGATGGCCTCTTGAAAGGTCCCTGGGTTGAAGGCCTCTTTTTAGGGACCTTGCTATCAGCGGCATTTTCATCTTCAAAGGGGTTACCATTCCCATCATCGTGGTCATCCTCATCATCCCGTTTCGGGTCAAAGATGGGATCATGATCGTCTGCAACCTGATGTTTCTTTGGTCTGGTTTTAGCCTTGGGAGCTGGATCTTTTGGGGCCTCACCCGATGAATCATCAGACGCAACACGACCAGGAAGAGCATGCTCCACGCCTACCAAGGAATGGCCACTAGGAGATGGTTTACCCCACACTGAATGTCAACATGTTTTCACAGACTCATTGGGCGCACATGCCACATGCGCCCAACCTGTAGAGCCGCTTGATGGCAGCGCACGGCTTGCTGATGGAGGCACAGCCGGGGTAGTTCGGGGATTTGGGCTCTCCAAGGTGTTGGTGGACAAAAGCCGGTGCAGATTAAAAGCCTTGATGCAAAAGAACCAAAAGACATCATCATATTTTTTTGAAATATGCATTGCTCTGCCATGGTTGGGCCGAGTGACCGGTGGTCTGAAGCTTGTCGTCAAAGGCACTTCCACCACCGAATCTTCGTCACCAAAGCTCTGCTGAGAGTCCTCCATCCCTGGCCTTTCTACAACCTTTCCGTTCTTGATCACAAGGGCAGACTAGAACAGGAAGGATTTGGAAACAGCACATGGGCCTCTTGCTTGGCATGGGTTTTGCAACAGCACATGAGTCAATACATTTGGCAATTAATGGTGATTCTTTTTTTCAGGGTGCACAGCAATCAGCATCATGAGAAAGGAGCATTTTGCTGCAACAATTTGCAGCGTGTATGGGCGTCCCACCTGGCAAATATCTAGGCCTGGTGCTGGAAAAATATCTAGGCCGGTTCTGGAAAAACACTTGAATACAGTAGTTGGGTTTGATAGATAACACACATGTGGTTAATTTACTGACTTCTTGATATTTCAACTCCTCCCCAAAAGTCCCAGAACCAGAGCCTTCAAACAAGGCAAACAGTCTCGTTGTTCACCTCCATTTGGTGCTTCAAGCAGATCACAGGGCGAATCGGCATGATGACCTTGCCACCCTTGGTATTTGAGGTATCCAACCTCAGAACCAATTGTCACATGACCCATGTCACAATAAGCATCTAGAAGAGGACATGGTGCAAACAAAGACCGGGCCCAAGCCAAACACAATAGACAACAACATCAACCATCAGTAGCTTGACTTGGGGAAAACGAGATTGCACAACCAAACTGGCCAAAGCAGCCTCGCGCGCCATGCCAGGAACACATTGGTCGCGTTTTTGAGAGCGGAGATGGAGGTGAAGGCACCGAAGTTCTTGCCGGTAATGGTCGTTCCTTTCTTCCTCTTCTTCTCCTTCTTACCATCTGTCGGAACCGGTTCCGGCTGGTCATCCACCAACTCGTCGAGGACGAAAACCAAGGGTTTTACACACTTCCAAGCTCCATCTGCGTCACGCTCATGATGACTGAGCTCGAGTTTCACCTGCTGGGTTTAAGATGAAAAACATCAGTTGAATCTTGGTGTAAGCAGGAAGTTATTTTAAAAAACACACATGTCATTATTTGCATGACCGACATGGACACTGCTTTTATAGCACCTCGCCTCGCCCAAATCCTCCATGTCGTTGATGAGGCTTTGCAAAGTCACAGGAACGTCACAGTTCTCAAGCGCTTGTAAGTGCTGGGGCAAGGTTTTGCGCTCCATGATCAAGTAGTCAGTGCTGGTGATGTTGAATGAAAACCAGCGACCTTCCGGGTCTGCGGTAGATTCATCAGCCTCCTTAAGCGGTCCAAGGTTAACAGCATAATTTGCAATCATCCCAGTGGGCCCATCCATGACTTGGCGTTTCCAAATTTTACTTGGACTGCTACAAAGATTGCCACTTTGTGACAAGATTCATTGCCGTCCCTCCATTCTCCACCACCGAAGGAGAACCTTTGTCGACAGCATTGGTGCTCAAAGTGGTTGAAGGCAATGGGGTTGGGGGTGGACAAGGCGCAGGCTGTTGCCGACAAGAAAGACAACGCCCCCACATGTGCAAAAGACACTCCTTGTTAACATGACAGTCAGCTTAAAGCTTTCTGAAGACATAACACTCGACCGATGTCGTCTCCAAGGAACATTTCACGACCTTGGAAGAATTGGTTGCGAGTCCGGGAGGATATGTAGATCTTGTCCCCGCCGCAAATCATATCGCAGGTGTTGTTGATGGACAGAACTTTCCTCAGAATGTGCAAACAAACACTAAGCTTCCAGGGGTCTCATCGCAGTTTTTCCATCTTGAACCTAAT